GTAGTGTTGTAGTGTTGTAGTGTTGTAGTGGTAGAGGCAGTGGAGTAGTAGCAGTAGTAGTAGTAGTAGTAGTAGTAGTAGTTGTAGTAGTAGTAGTTAGTAGTAGTAGTAGTAGTCATAGTAGTAGTAGTAGTAGTAGTAGTAGTCGTCGTCGTCGTCGTCGTCGTCGTGGTGGTGCTGGTAGTGGTGGTAGTAGATGAGTTGTAGATGTTGTTGTAGTGCTCTTAGTATGATCGCCATCATCGTTATCATGATCACAAGGATAATACCAATAGTAGAAAATATTTCTAGCAGCCGTAATTGGCAGCTAGTATATTCAAGTATATTCATAAAGACAAAAACAGCACTAGTAGCAGTGATAGTCATAGCAATCGTCATGATAGTGATGATAGTCACAACCATAATGATAATGGTAACCGTGGTAAGAATGAAACTAGCAACAACAAAATATCAATATTAACAATGGCTATAAGTTAAAATGGTACCAATACTACTAGAAGTGAAAATGAATCCAACCAGCCAGGGAATTAGTCCTCGAGGCTCCAGCAGCACGCTCGTGCGAAGAGCTGAGCGCTGCGTGCCACAACTGCCTGATCAATCATGTCGCTCAAACGCCGAAAACCACGGAAAGTCCAAAGAATCGTCAAATCTAATCCTGCAGATGAAAAGCTTCGCTAGACGTGCTGCCTCGGATGAAGCAGGCATCGGCCCTTGAACCACCGGGGATGCTTTCAGATCTGCCCACGCTACGCCACAGAGGTGAAGTTTCGGAGGTGCCTTGGCATGCCGTTCAGCGATAAGTTGGACACTGAAGTGGCAACTTCGGTTCGAGCCACCTTCTCCCACGGATGCAATGGATCCGGTCGGAGTTGTGCAACCAGGTCTGCCGACCTGTGAGCACACGCGTTTGCAGGCGGCCTTCAACGATCCAACATAGCGGCAATCAGCCGCGCACCGAAGCCCAAAGATGCAACGGACATCGTGCTCGCAATGAGGCGGATCTGCACGAGCCCTGGCAAACAGGCACGGAAACAAAAACGGATTGCGGTCTTCGCATTTTTTGTGTTTCGGGGTTTGTGCTCGAACAGTCCTGCTCGGACATGAAGAGTCATAACGCCAACGACATAAATCCGAATGATTGCAACAAAAAGCTTGATGAGCCGTTCCAACCAATTTTGCTAAGTGAGCGTTTCTCTTTGGAAACCTACACTGGCGGGGAACTGGTTGACCCGACTCACCTTTGCAAAAACATTGTAGGATGGCATCAGGCGGACTCGACGATGCTCCGTGTCCCTACCCGGCTTTGAGGAAGTCGGGGGATGGGGGGTTTTGCAGATGGAATGATCCGAAATACTGGCAGGGGAAGCACGATCTGTCAAGTAAGCTTCTTTTTTTGTGGGACTTTCCTCTCTTGGTTCCTTCTGCGTATGTTGCTTACCTGCTCATGGTTCCTGATTTCACTTCTTCATGTCTCCAGTTTCTGTTGTTCATATACTCTCTGGCTGCCCAATTCGTTCACTCTTCTATTGCTTTGATTGTATCGTGGTCTGTTTCTATCGTTATTCACTTCTCTGCTTTGGCAGCCCCCCAGTTGAGTCGTAGGCCTGCTAACCACAACCATAGAAAGCAGAACAAAAACCAGGCAAGACTGTAAAACATCATAGTTTATATCAAACGCAGTCCGACAAGGATTACCTGGCAAATCGTGTCGCAAGGTGACCATGCGATTTTAGCACGCATGGACAGCAACTTTGCGCCTGATCCAGTCCTCAGAAGCCCAGGAAGCAGCACCAAATGTAGCCGCTCCCAAGCTTAACCTCAGTGTCAGCAGTCCCCGTGCTCGAAGATCCCCCAGCGAAAAAAAGGAACTTCGATGGCAGTCTGCACTCAAGCTTGACGGAAAGTGACCGAGGTTCGCACAACAACGGCCATCCCAAACGCATAAGCTCTGATGCAGTCCAACCATAACACGCAGACGAGCACAGATGTGCTCTACGTCACGCTGTGATCTACTTCGTGATAGTTGTGCTTCCAACAGAGCAACCATGGTGCATTTATGACTGATGACATCATTTCGATAATGAACTTGAAATGAAAGTGACAGCGGCACCAACAACAAGCAGCTCAGCATCAAAGATCCACAAGCTAACGTCCGCTAAGCTTACATTTACAGGTTCACAAGACCGACAACAAACCAAAGCGGAAGCCGCACTCTGCAATCTTGGCGCTCACAACGCCAACCTGCCCACACACAGGAGGTGGGTACCCACGATGCATTGCTGTTGTTCATGTGACTGAAACTCATGCTCCCAACTGTCAAACGTCACGAGTGCTGATCAACCTGCACATCCACACAAACCAGCTTTGCCCTGCATCATGAGCCCACAACGCCTCCATCTCTTCATTGTCCTGCGATGATGAACAAGCATACGTAACGGTTGCTGTCGGGCAACCCATGGACTTCAGGAATGGCTGTCTTTGGGCTTCATGCGGCCTGAAAAAGATAACAATCGCAGCACGTCCTCGAACATGGTTCCGGGCTGCACACGGCGTGCATGCAACTACGACATTGCTTCAAAAATGCTGATTGTAATCGTTCCAATCTGACCTAGCGACATCGGATTCATCACCAACCCAAACTTCATACTAGAGGCTTCTGCTCTGGGAAGAAAATTGTGGCTGCCTTTAAGACACACAATGCATGTGGAAGAAGGCGATTGACAGGTTGTTGATAGTCGTAACGTGATATCGGCTTTGGACCAAGCTTTCAGGTTGCAGCACGTTGCAAGAACAAACCTACTCAACGAATCAATTCGCATCAAGCATGTCACTGTCCTTGGGTTCCCTAGAGTTAAATCTCTTATATTGAGCAGACCTTCAATCATGTTAAGTCTTCTATTTTGGATTACAGTGTATTTCTCAACAACTCCTTTTCAACACTTTTAACCCCTTGAAGCACGTAAAGCAGTGTTGGTGCAAAGCGCGCTGTACTCTGAGACCCCTGCACAACAGTCACCAACATCCTGACAATTTCTGGACATCATCTGCCCTCTACTACAGTCCACAACTGCCTCAGAAACTTCGACTCTGCTTTGAGTCGTCTGCCAAATAGGCCTTGAACTGGAAGTGCTCACCTTCTGCAACCAAGAGCGTTTTCCAACCAGACTGCATAGCGATCATCCCCACCAATCGAAAACAATTCTTCTGGATCACACTCAACGGCTTGGACGGAAGCGTTGATAAGAAACAGCACCACACAACCGGCAAGAATGTCTTGAAGGGAAAGTCTTTGTTGCTGACTTGTGTCTCACGCGCTTGTGTCGGCCTCGATGCTTGGCCAGAGGTTCTCTTCTTTAGCGCACAGCAAAACCATCTAACCTGACTTTTGGAAACTCAAAAACGAAAAAACGATAAAAATAGAAACTGAAGAAATCCAGAATTTTCAGTCTAAAAAGCGAACAAGTGAAAGAATAAAGACAAAAGTAAAGGAGAATGCCACAACGCTTAGAAACGAAGAATGAAGAAAAAAGGTCTCGAACATCTGTCAAAGCAAAGATTTCCGCACACGAGAAGAAAGCCACACAAAAACGCTTTTGGTGGCAAGAAACCCAAGAAAAGCCACACGAAAACGATTTCGTGGCTTTGTCTCACGTTCAGACGCTTTTCAAAACAAAGAGGAAATAAACCTTCCAAGTCAATAGCGTTGGAAAACTTGTGAACAAGAGAGAGGCGGAGCTCAAGTAGTTTTCTGGAGAGCAGTTTTTTTGGCGTATGCGGGCCTC